AAAAGCCCCATGTGCTTTCCACTGGAAAAGAAATGATGACAAGATTAAATGACGGAACAATACCAGATCATAATACGATAACCATTTTTAGAGCCCGAAAAACTTTTAAAATGAAATTATTTTCAGGGATGGAAATGGCAATAATTCATACTGGAAAGAAAACATGCTAATTCTATACATCACATGAATAACTCATCCCTAATAAATAATTATCTGAAGTGGCAGAAAAAATGTCCAACTTTTTTAGTGCAAAAACTGGGGCTTTTCATTATTTCTCCTGGACTGAACCCCTCCCTGCAGCATGCTGTTTATCAGTCTCAGAAAACATACTCCTCAAATTATTCCCGCCCTGGTACATAGTTAACCCTTGAACAATGCAGGGCTTAGAGGCACCAATCCCCATACAGTGGAAAACTGAGTGTAACTTTTGATGCTACAGTTGGCCCTTCCCATCCTTGAATTCAACCAGCCATAAATTGAAAACTGTATTTTCAATGTGCAGTTGGGAATGCAAAAAACTTATCTATTCATGGTTGGTTAAATAAAATACATGTATAAGTGAACTGGGGCCTTATTGAAGGGTCAACTGTATTTTCAATCACTGCATACACTTTGCTTCTATTTCTCCTTCCAGTCCAGCTCAAGTTATTCAGCAGTAAAAGGCAAACCTTGAAAGAAACGGGGGGGAGGGCAAAAAGCTACAAGTTCTATGTTCTGTTTGCAGACATTCTACCCTCAGAGGGGAAACGTTTCCAATTTGACTTCATTTGTAACAATAAAGTTAGGTTAGTACATATAAAGCTACAGACTTACTTTTTCTACCTTCATCTCTTAGTATTTCTTTTCAGAAGCCCTTTGTTTTAGCCCAACTGAAACCCCTTTGCTTTCTTACCTTTCTGCGTTTGCAAAAAGTACGTTCAGAAATGATTTTCACAATTAAACCTACACTGCTATGAAAATGTATTAGTATTTCCATGTTTTAAAAATATTCTGGTTGTGCCGTAGCTGGTTTGGATCAGCGCATAGAACATTGGCCTGCGGACTGAAGGGTCCCAGGTTCGATTCCGGTCAAGGGCATGTACCTGGGTTGTGTGCACATCCCCAGTAGGGGTTGTGCAAGAGGCAGCTGAATTGATGTTTCTCTCACACACCAGCAATGATGAAGCTGGGACCTGAAACAAAGCCTTCTGGTTCAAAATACAGCACAAGGGCATCACAGCTCTTTAACTATTGGCACTTGCTTAAAAATAAACATGACAAATAACTATAGACTTTCAATTGCTGTAACCTAACTGACCTGAAAATGTTTACGGTGTGGTGTGACAGGTACTGAGAGGTGTGTCTTCAATGATTTAAACATGGAGAGAACATGGGTGTCCTCAGAATCAGATGTAAGAACAGAGAACACAAAGGTATCTTGCTACTTATAACTGTATACCAAGAAACCCCTCACTGCATTCCCATCTCTCTGGGTGCGGCTCTGGATCAAGGCCTGCTGAGGCTGGCCAGCAGTCAGCACAGAGCACTGGAGTGCTGCCCCCACATACTCTCACAGCTCCCATTTAATATTTCAGAGCACGTGTATTTTATTTTAGTTTTTTAAAAATATATTTTATTGATTTTTTACAGAGAGGAAGGGAGAGGGATAGAGAGTTAGAAACATTGATGAGAGAAATATCCATCAGCTGCCTCCTGCACACTCCCTACTGGGGATGTGCCCACAACCCAGGTACATGCCCTTGACCGGAATTGAACCTGGGACCCTTGAGTCCGCAGGCTGATGCTCTATCCACTGAGCCAAACCGGTGAGGTCAGAGCATGTGTATTTTAGATACATAACAAGTGATTTTGTCCTAATTCAAGGAATTTGCAGCTTTTGTCTAAAATTCACAGGATGTCCCAGAAATGTCACAAAGCTAACTGAGTGAATTGGACAGGTCTTATTTATCATCTATGTACTGAGAGCATATTCCGCTGACTTAACCCAGAGCTCCTATCTAGAGTGTCCATGTGCATTTTCTGAGAGGGCTCAGCTTTCTGCGGGCTCTCAATAGGGCCTGTAATTCACAAAGTTGAGAAGTCATTGACCTAATGGAAGAGTTTTAAGACAAAAACACATGAAATATTTTAAGATACATGAGAAAAGGATGCAATAATGGCATTATTCCGAGGAACACAACCAAGAGACACTTCAGAAAACGTTGTTTTGCAGATGGCATCCAAGTTCAGCCTTGAAGAGTAGGTTATATTCGAGCATACAGGCCATTTCAGAAAGGTGAAGCAAATTTAAAAAAGAGAATGTAATGAAAAGGAGGGCAGAAAGGGAGGGTAGGGGGGACCACAGCAGTTTGAGGCAAAAGATGTTAGGGGATGTGAATAGGAAGCAGGTCTGCCTCATGCCTAGTGGAGAGCACCCGGCAAGGAATGTGTTGGCAAACGAAACTACAGGCTCACAGGAAGGGACCAGGTCAGGCAAAGCGTAGGGATAACCACCAGCAGCAACAAGTAATGAGGAAAAGGCCCCTAGTTAGGAGACAAGAACACGGGGAAGCACTCAAGGAAAGACACATGTGGGCAATATTGTGCAAAGAGTCCACAAGGCTGAGGTCATCTGCACCAACCAAACTCAACCTCTGCATTGAAAACAGAGATAAGCAAATGTTTTATCCTGGGCCGCAATGCAAGTTTTTTATGGCCAATGCTATGCCAAGCTGAATATATTTCTTACATAATATACAAAGCTAGGCCAGTTCTGAGGGCTTTGCTCATCATTTTAGTCTAAGACAAGCATGTCAAATCATTGGATGACCAGCGGCCACCGGGCTGCATGCCTCGTTTAAATAAAAGACATGCTTGTTCTAAGACCTATAAATGAGGATTAATTCCTGCTAGCCTTGTTGTTTTGTTGGTGGTTAGGTTTGCAACTATAGCTGCAAATTCTCTGTCAGAAAACGAAAACCACATAAAGCACCTTTATGATTCCTAAAAGAACTAAGTTACTAAATGTGTGAGCTTTGCAGTGGTGCCTAGATTTAAAGGACCCACCTAATCCATTTATTGGAAATAAATTCTGTTTACTTTTACACACAGTTTTATTCTAAGCATAATCCTAAATTTATAAAATAGCCAAAAATAATCCCTCATATTCCTTGGGAATATGCAGACCATAAACAATAAATATATACACAATGAATCTTTTTTTTTGTTTGTTTTTGTTTTTTGTTTTTTTGTTTTTTTTTTTTTTTTTAAGGGTTTCAAAATTGTCCCTTTCCCCCCCCCCCCCCATTAACCCTCACACACACTCATGCTCCCATCCCCCTGTTGTCCATGTCCATTGGTTTGGCTTATATACATGTATACAAGTCCTTCGGTTGATCTCTTCCCCTTACCCTCGCCCTCCCCTACTTCCCTTCTGGGGATTGATAACCTGATCGCTGTTTCTCAGTTACACAATGAATCTTATGAAATGTGACTTCTTATGCAATTTGAGAAAAGTATTTTTAAGATTATTAGTACAAGAAGGCAACACAAACAGAACTGAATCCTGTTAACACTAAAGTAGACTGCTTCAAGCACATTCATGGAAAGAGTAGAACAATCAGACAATGTGAAGCCCACACCAGCTACCATGACATTGGTCCAGTGATCAATACTACAGAGGGTGGTGGAGAGCACTGTGGTAGAGCTCCCTAAGCTCACCTTCACAAAATAGTCAAACAGGGGCCTGTATTTCTTGCCTTGGAGAGAGGCACCTGGAAATCTAGGGAAAAAAGGAGGAACGCAAACTCACAATTAGATTCAAATTATCAACGAAACTAGGTTGCACCCACATGAAGTCATCACTGCCTTAGGTTACCGAACATACTAGTACTTAAAATAGTACTTAAGTACTTAGTATTAAAAATCGTAATATACTTAAAGCTAAATTTGAAAAATATAACTTTTGAGTAATAAAGTGTCTTTTGATTTGTATATTTACCTTTCAAGGATCTCATAGTCATTCTCCAATTTGTAGAGGGCCGGTAATCTGGCTTCCATTAAAATGAATGATTTTCCTCTGACAACATCTATAAGAGCAACAGGAAAAGAGGACTTCAGTGACAGCCAGATGGTGGCTTACTCTAAAGACAAACCTCAGCTCAGCTCTACCACAGGCCACTGCAGGCCACCTGAACCAGCGTGTCCAGCACTCAGGGCAGCACTGCCGATAGGGCTAGCACACACTACTTTCTACATACATGACAAAGCATAAAAAGCAGCAGGCAGCTCAATTGTCATTAATTGCACCGCTAGCCATTTAAAGTGAATTAATCTTTACTTTCTCCCACCAAAGTTAATATGTGTGAATGAGTCAACGTCCTAACATTAATAAACCAAGAAGCTCACAAACACAAGCCCCTATAGGTTTTCAATATCTTGGTCGCTCTCTTCTCCTCCTGGCACCCCCATGCGAATGTTAGTACACTTGGAGTTGTCCCAGAGGCTCTTATACTACCTTCATATTTTTGGATTCTTTTTTCTTTTTGCTCTTCTGATTGGGTCTCTTTTGCTTCCTCATATTCTAAATCGCTGATTTGATTCTAGGCATCCTCTATTCTACGTAGCTCATGGATGTGTAGAGCTGTAATCTGGTGTGGTCTGAAGGTAGCCATTGGGCACACTGGCTCTGGGGCCACCTGGCAGGATCTACAGAGGCATCTGCAAATGGCTGCTACTTGTATTGGGCTTGAAGTGCCCAGGAGAGGCCCATTGTGAAGCAAGGCAGGCTGCTAGTGCTGGGTCTCACTATGGCTTCAGAGATTTTGGGAAAGTCTGAAGTGTGAGCCAGGACAGGCCATTCATATAGAAACGCTGCTGCAAACAGTTTGAGTGGGGCTGCAAGTTGTAATGTGCGGTGTCTTTGGAAATCACCAGGGCTGAGTCAGGAAATAACAGTGTGAGCAGGGCTGAAGGAAACTTCGATATGGCTGCCAGCTCTGAGATAGGGCACGTTTCAGCAGAGGAACAATGACTCCTGCCAGTATGCCTGTCTGGGAAAGCTGCCCCCAAGTTCTTGCTCTGAGGTCAGACAATTCAATTCCTCCCTGTATGTCCCTGGATCCCTCCAAGCCACTGCCCCAGGGCTCGGACTCAGAGGAAGCAGGTCCATGTAAGTTCGTGCACCGGCTCTTTAAGAGGGACTGCCTGGGTCTTCAGCAGCCTCCTGGTCACCCAGCCACAGTCCCCACTAGTTTTTAAAGCCCAAAGTTATGGGGACACATCTTCCCACTCTGGAACCCTGGGCTGGGAGTCTGGGACCCTCTGCTCCTCACAGGAGGCCTCCACAGCAAAGATATCCCTCCCAGTTAAAAAAACAACACATGTGAGTATCAGACCTGCCCGAGTAAAAGCTATTCTGGGTCAAGTTGGCTGTCATGAAAGGTGGAATTTCTTTTCTTTTTTTAAAAAAATATGTAATGCTTCACAAATTTGCGTGTCATCCTTGTGCATGGGCCATGTTAATCTCTGTTTCATTCCAATTTTAGTATATGTGCTGCCGAAGCGAGCAATGGAATTTTTTTTCTGGTCTCGAGTTTTTCTTTTCTTTCCATGGCTTCTTTCTTCCACTCTTAGACTTTCCTAGTGATGAGAGCCATGCAGCCTACCCAAGTTCCATGGGAAAGGAAGCTGTGCTTGGGACTCTTCTAGACGTCACCTATGAACTTCTTTATCTGACTGTTTATGAGTAGCCTTTACAATATTCTTTTGTAACAAACTGGTAATCTAGTATGTACAATGTTTCTCTGCGTTCTGCTTCAGCAAATTAATAGCATCTGAGGAGGAGGTCTTGGGTTAGCCAGAAATATATGTGACATTCTGGACTTGCAATTGGAGTCTAAAGTGGGGGTTGGTGGTGGGGACAGTCTTATACAAGTGAGTCCTTAACCTTTGGGATCTAACTGCAGACAGCTAGTATCTGAATTGAGTAAATTGCTTGGTGGTGTTTAAAAAACACATATCATGTCAAAACCGGTTTGGCTTGGTGGATAGAGCGTTGGCCTGTGGACTGAAGGGTCCCAGGTTCAATTCCGGTCAAGGGCATATACCTTGGTTGCGGGCACATCCCCAGAAGGAGGTGTGCAGGAGGCAGTTGGTCGATGTTTCTCTCTCATCGATGTTTCTAACTCTCTATCCCTCTCCCTTCCTCTCTGTAAAAAATCAATAAAAAATATATTTAAAAAAATAACTAAAAATAAAGATAAAAAACACACATCAGAGCCCTAGCTGAGTGGCTCATTTGGGGGGAGTGTAGTCCCTTACACCCAAAGTTTGTTGGTTCCATCCCCAGTCGGGTGCATATGGGAGGCAACTGATCAATATTTCTCTCTCTTCCTCTCTCTCTCTTTCTCTCTCTCTCCCTTCTGCTCTTTAAACACATGCTCTGTGAAGATTAACCGTTTGACTGCTAAGGAGCGCTATCGCGCTCTTCTTATTTAAAACAAATTTATGTAAACAATTGGTATTTTTTAATTTTTGTTGTTGCAAAGCAATACAAGTGAGTTTATTGTATAAAAAGTGTTTTACATTTTTTTCCCATACACACGCAATTAGTGCCGCAGTTTTGGCATATGTCCGAAAAAATACGTCAGCAGCCAAACGGTTAAAAAACAAGCACCCCACACACATCAGAGATTCCTAGGAATGATGAGATGCCAGCTCTCTGAACCTTCAATACTTCATCTATAATGGGGGCATGATGTGCAAAAGTATGCTAAAATCAGAAAATTATAAAGGAATTTTTACTTTGTATATCTTCACTATTTTGCTTTTTGGTATGCTATATTTTTAATCTGTCAAAGAGAAAAGCACAGAGCCAAAATGGCCTCACTCAATACCAAACCCAGGTTTATTATTTGATCTAATTGTTTCAACTTCTCCTAAAAACATTAATCAACAAGTCTGGAATTTTCTGGTCAATACCAATGAGGTAATCTGTGGCATAGACTCTCACCATATCCACCCCAAAGGAAAAGGAAGCAATCTGAATAACAAACAAACAAACAAAAACCTTTGCTATTAGCTTCCTCAAAAAATACACACATAGCAAACAGATGTCCTGGTGTAAAAATAATCCTTTCTTTTCGTTCCCTAATAGCTCTCCTTGCCCTACCCCTCTTCCTATAAAAATGCTTCATTTTGTACTATCCTTAGCAGCAACCTTCTACTTGCTAGATGGGATGCTGACCACTTATAAAAGCCAATTAGACCTTCAACTTTAGTTGGCTGAATTGTTCTTTAACACATTAGAAGTGAAAACAAAACAACACAGTTCTTTTACAGATTGTTTACTCCACAAAAAAATGTTATGTTTACTCTTT